CTTCAGCATCGACTGGACTAGTTTCAGAGAGCCGGACCTAGCACTCCTTGATAAGGGATGGAGGGAAGGGCGCTGTGGGCGACTGGAACTAGAAAAAAGGCATTCATTGGGATCCTTTGCAGTCATTAACAACATGCTGATAAATACTAACCCTGACTGTTCAGATTCAGTCGGCTGGCTTCTCTTCTCTTCCCCCACCAAAGAATTCGGCTCAGTCTGGGCTTGGGGCTGGCTGTTTCTTCATGAACTCTGTAGAGAACATCCTTCTCTACTGCGGTGTTTCTTCATCCTCTTCCTCCTTCAGGACTTGAAAATCTATCAGGGAAGACTACTTAAAATAAGAACAAAAAACAATAATGTCGCCCAAGAATCATAGGGTTGGGGGTGTCAGGAGTAATATTAATGCAGATGCTAAACATATGTTGCAAGCGTTACAGAGAAAGAGCCTGGAGGGCAAGCAGAGAGGAGGCTCCACAAATGTGTGGTCATGAGGGCATCTAACTTCTCAGGACTCATTTGCTCTGGCTGACACCCCTAGGACTTTTTCCTCTGTATATATATACACACATATTCATATACACATACATATTCATATATACATACATATTCATATACATATACATATTCAATATACATCGTGTATTCAATATACAAATACATACATTTATATGTACATATATATACACATACTGGATTTTAAACCCCTCAAAACCAGAGAATTTATTCTTCTTTATTCCTTTTTCTACTTCTCACAAAAAATAGGAAGTTCTTTATCTCTATCAAAACATCAGTGATTACTAAACAGTATGAACCAGGTCACATAAGTCAATCCCTTGCCTGAATCCCAGGTTTATTAAGAGGTTGCACGGAATGGGAGAAAGGGCTTTGCACTTGAATCTGAACAGCTGACTGGGTCCCAGCTCATCTTAATTTGTGAAATCCAAATAGTAACATTAAACCTCACTATCTTCCTAGAGGTTCCTGCCAGCCTTGAAATGCTTTCTAAAAACACTAACAGTGCTTTGCAATGTTTAAAAAGCTTGTGTTATATGTACTGACACATAAAGATGTCAGAGATACATGACTGATTGTTACAGTCTTCCTGTGGATTTAATTGTTTTAAAACAGAAAAACAAGATATGCTGTTAAATAAAAAAGTGCAGATCAGCATGAATGGAATGGTACGATGCAGTTTTTATTAAAAAAACATGGATATTAAATCTGTGCTAGACTCTAAACATTTAAGAGTGGTATGAAGAGTGGGATTTAGGGAAACTCATCTTCTGCAGTTTATGTTTCTATCTGCATATATGAAATTATATTTCAGTACTTATATGTCAGTATAAATTACTTTAACATAAACACTCACATTCAAATATTTATATTAAATGTGTATGTCTGTATTTGCATTAGACTATTTTAGTTATTGTAATAAAAAAAAGACCCTTAAGCTAAAGCTGACTTTTTATCATGTTAGACTCAATCCCAAGATGGCAAACTTTTTTTGTTGTTTTATAATTCTATTTTGTGATTCAGTGGGGAAGGGGTGGCAAAAGTAATGAAAGGGACAGGGAGGGGGCCCTCCCTGGTGGTGCAGTGTTAAAGCACAGCACTATGAAGCTAGCCCCAGTGGCTTCAGCATGAGTTCGACCCCCGGCCAGGGAGGGACCCACAAGGCGCAGCAGACCTCTCCTGTCTCCCTGCTGCTCCCCTCAGCAGTGGATTTCAGTCCATCTGCCTGTTCTGCTCCCCACTCTGTCTCTGGTGGATCCTTTCACCCCCGCACCTCTGGCCTGTACCCCAGTTCTGTGTGCATCAATAAATCTTAAAAAAAAAAAAAAAAAAAAAAGGACAAGGAGAAACATAGGACTGGCTTTAGGAGAGCAGTGGTGGAGAAGGGGACCCTACACCCACCAAAGGGCAATGCCTGCATCTGGGAACCCCCTGCCTTCCCTGAGTGCTGAATTTCCAGGAAGAAGCCATCCTCCAGGCCTCAGAACTCGGTGCTGCCTTCGTGCTTCAGTTCTCCTATCTCTGCCGCTTGGCTTCTGGTTGCTGCTCTTCTCAGCATCACTTCAAAGCTCCAGATCAAATAATCATGTGTCCAGCTGCAAAGTCAGAAAATCAGGAGTCTCAGTGCAAGATGGTGGTGTGTATCATGCCTGACCCCAGGCTGACCTTTCCACTTGAGGAAGAGGAAATGAGGTCAAGTGGAGAGTACTGACACCCTACACAGCTACTCACATCCCCTGAAGGAGAAGGCCTCTCAGATAGCTTGATACTTCTGCTTGGGCCTGGACCAAGGATAAACATTTCTGGGAATCACCCAACCACTGGGATACACTAGAAAGTTCTGCACCCCATTACAACCCCATCCATTTATTCTCACACCCAAATCCAGATAAGTTCAGTGGATTGAAAGTTTAAAAATAAAATATGAAAGCAAATATTTATGAAGTGCTTACACTGTGGGCCAAGCAATGTCCTAAGCACTTAAATAATGCATTAATCTTCACAAAGACCTGTGGGGTAGAAACTGTACTGTCAGGCCATTTTACAGATGATGACAGTGAGGCAAAGATCTGACCCCCGGCTCTTGACCAGTTCCCTGTGCCGCCCTTCAGCACAGCATCATGAGTGGTGTTTGGGGTCCGTGTGTATTTGATGAACCAGTGCTTCATTTGATCCATATGGACACATACCCCAGTGTGGTTCAGTTGGCCAAGGCTAAACACTCCTTATGGCTTGCCCTTCTCCAGGGACAAGGCATGGGATGAGAGAGCAGGGTTCGAGGGGGAGGGCAAGTAGGTGAAAGCCCAGGGGACACAGGCAGTAAGATGCAAGATTTAATCTTGGTTTTGCCATTCACTCGAGACATGACCTTCACTTTTTTTTTTTTTTAAAGATTTATTTATTTCTACATACAGAACTGGGGTATAGGCCAGAGATGTGGGAGGTTGAGGGGATTTACCAGAGACAGAGTGGGGAGCAGAATAGTCAGACTGATGAAGTACACTTCTGAGAGGGGAAGCGGGGAGACAGGAGAGGTCTGCTGTGCCCTGTGGGTCACCTCCCTAGCCAGGGATTGAACTCATGCTGCAGTAGTTGCAATAGTTTCATAGTACTGTGCTTTAACTCATTGTGCTACCAGAGAGGGCCCCACTTGAGACATGACCTTTAAATGGACTTTCATCTTTAGTGAAACACTTCACCAGCACCTAGTAATACATGTGGTATTTAATAGGTGCTCAATATAATGTTTTAATTTCAAATGAACAGTCTCTAAGCTATCTCTGCATTCTTAACACCCTTTGAGTCTGATGAGAAGGGATTCGCCCCACTGTCTCCAGCCTTTTTTAAGAGAGTTCAACAACTAAGTCTCAGGGCTACCGCTGGGATGGTGTGAATTCAACCCCTGGCCAGGGAGCTGACCTACATATGGCACAGCCATCTCACCCACTGCTCCCCTCAACAATGTACTTCAGTAGATCTGCCTGTTCAGCTTCCCACTGTCTCTGGTGAAGCCTCTCACCCCTCCTCCACCTCTGACCTCCACCCCAGTTCTTGTATGCATAAATAAATAAATCTAAAAGAGAGTTCAACAGAAACAAAGTTAAAGGAACTTCATTAGTGTAACTCCTCCATCTCCATTTCCTTTTCTCTTAGGAAACTGAGGCTTCAGTAATTAGTCATCTAAAACAACTTATCATTAAGTAGGCTCTAGGGTCTAGTCCAACAGACTTCCCAAGTGGGCAGCCCTTGACAAGTCAAGTGTGATCTAGCCTGTCTCCCTCCAGACACACGCTGAGCTTCGTTGTGAGCAAGCCTCCCACTTGTATGTGTAGGGGGGCAGAAAACGAGTAGACAATCTCCCCCTCTGAAAGATCAGAGTATGGCAGGGAGAGATGCACCAAGTCTACAGATAGCTATAAGATAGACCTTGGTCCAGTTCAATAGTCAGGAAGAGGAAGTAGTTATTGGAGCGGACCGTCTTGCTCTCAAGACAGGGGAAGGAAAAGATGTTTTCCTAACCACAACCTCAGCTTGTTCCCTTCAGCCTGGGTGGGAGAACATGTGTTTCTTTCTGCTCTGAACAGGGGCCTGAGTCCACCCCCCACCCACCCCAGCCCGGCTCAGCCTTGGGCCCCTGCAGAGGCCACCCAGGCTGCTGAGGCTCCCCCAGCGCTAGCGATGTTCTCTTCTCACATGTTGGGACTGGCAGGCCTTGGAATCCCTTGCATCTTCCTGTCTGGGAAATGGTCTAGGACCAGAGGGAAAGCTGTCAATCCCTTTCCAGAACAGGTGGGTTCCCTTGCCCATTTTAAGCACATTCCAGGACACACCCTTAAGCCTATTCTCCCCACCCTTTTTAAAGCTGGCTCTGCTTCCCCTGAGAAGCCCAAGTTTTGGTGGGAGGAGGAAAGGCAGATAGAATCAGAGGTGAGGCAGGGAGGGGCCGGCAGAGCTGGTGTTCCCAGTAGTACTGTTTCCTGTCCTGGTGGCTCTGTCACCCTCAAGGAGGCTGGGTGGGGAAGAGTCAGGTACAGACAAGATGTCCCACTGTTCTCTCCCCTGGGCAGTTTCCCTTGGGTTTCAAGCAAGGACGCAGGACCTGAAAGGTCCAGGTGACGCTGGACAGGCAGTGCATTCACAGCCAGAGAGGCAGAGGGCAGGGAGAAGCTTGTTCCTGCAATGGGGGCCTGGGCTTGCTCCAAGGGGTGGCCAGAGAAGTAGCCCAAGCACCTGGGATTTTTGCTCAGTGGCTTGGACATTTATCCCACGTGCTAGAGAAACTTTCATCCTGGCTGTGTAGCAAGGGCTTTGTCTGCAGTGGGGAGACAAGCCTGTCTCTGTGGTAAAGAGGGGCCTCAGGCATTTCCCACCCAGTTCTGCTAAGTGGTCATTCTCCAGCTCTCACTGTAAGGGGAACCTCTGTCCTTCACCGGAGGCTACTGAGGTGACACAGGTGAGGAAGAGTAAGTCAAATCAGCGAATGACTGAAGTATTTATTTTAAAAGGGAAAGGGAGTAACACAGAGGCAACATTTGGCATCTTCTTTCCAGTTCATCACCCCCAGGAGCTCCCCAACCCAAAGCACTGGCAGCGGGGTCCCAGGACAGACCGAGAGGCCAGAGAGTCGCAGAGTCATTCACAGAGAGACCTGTGCAGTCCTGGAGAGGCAGGATTCAAGAGTCCATCCCAGCCCTCTTGCTCTGGAACAGGGCTAGAGCTCGGGGGCGTAGGGCTCCCCACTGGGTGAGGGCACCCGCAGCTCAGCGTCGTGCCTGACCACAGTGAAGAGCCCCACCACCGCCAGGAGAGCCATCACCATGACGGCAGAACAGATGCTGAACATGTTCCTAGTGCCCGTTTTGCGATCGCTGTCATGGAGCACCAGGAGGCCCAGGCAGGCCAGCAGGTGCAGGGGCACCCGGAACCAGTTGAGGACACCCGCCTGCTCTGTCTCGGGGATCACCTTTCTCCGCAGGAAGCTCATGCTGGGAAAGTAGAGTCCACAGGCCAGTTCGATGAGCAGGAAAGCTATGAAGGACTCCACTGGACTCTCCTGGCCTGGGCTGGTGGAGAACGTCAACATGAAGAGGGAGAAGACCACGATGAGAACAGCGAGCGAGAGCAGGTGCATGGGCTGAAGGTGGTACCTCTTGGAGGTGGCAATGCGATACAGGGAAGAGCCGAGCAAGCTGGCTGCCATGAAGCTGGAGAAGACGATGCCTAGGGGCGCCCCATGTGGGTCCAGCACGGGCGTCCAGAGGAAGACAAAGATGAAGATGACGCTCTCAAACAGGGCCTGGATGGTGCCTAGCAGCAGTACACGGCGGTCTGACAGGAGGCAGCGCAGGCCCCCGGCACAGGTCCTGGAGAAGGCTCGCTGCCGATCGTAGTTCTCGCCCCAGCTGTGAAGGGCCAAGGCCCCAGTCAGAGCCAAAAGGGGGATGGCAGCCACAAAGGGGGCTACAGGCCCCAGCCCCATCCAGCCGGCTACCGCCTCGGCTGCCACACCTGCCAGGACGGCCAGCACGTGGTTCCAGAAGGCAGCCCGGGCAAAGGTGGCCGGGATCCACTCGGCGGGGAAGTCATGCCGCTCCACATGCTCGTGGATGTACCAGGCTTCAAAGGCGGAGAAGAGCAGAGCCGTGGACAGCCCACCCAGTGCTCGGCCCACCAGCAGCACAAAGTAGTCCCGAGACAGTTTGGTTAAACAGCACAGGGAGTAAGTGAGGGAGAAGAGGACACAGGACTTCTTGCGACCTAGCCAATCCACAAGTGAGGAGGACACCAGTCCGAAGAGGACCGTGGAGGCCAGGCCACAGACATAGAGGATGGCGATCTGACCCTCCAGGAAGTGGTAATGCTGATAGAGTTTATAGAGGTAGGGGGCCTGCAGCCAGTCAGCCGCCAAGGCCAGGAAGTAGACCTGGTAGAAGTCCAGTTGAAAACGAAGAAAGGAGGGGTTGCTACAGGCCCTTCCAGGGGGTTTCGCCTGGCATCTTGACAGCTCCAAGCCCAGGCAGGCAGCCAGGAGGACCAAAAAGGCAAAGTAGGCAGTCACCAGCATGGCGGGTCCCCGGAAGACCTGGGGAGAGAAGGGGGTTTCAGGGTAGCAGCCATTGCTCCAGTAGCTCCGACGAGGGGCTGGCTATGGGGCAGAAGTCAGCTCCACCCCCCCCTGCCAGCTGCACTTCCCCACCCCTCAGTTCCACTCCCCCAGAGTTCAGACCGGAGGGACCAGTTGAGTGGGTGGGAGGAGTGACCTGTCAGAGCGGTCTCTGAGCACACTGTGGGGCAGGGAGGGGCAAGAGGAGAGGGGAAGACTGAGCTTTCGCCCCACCCTCGCCAAGAGGGAGTCCCTTCAAACACCCCGGCCCGCGCGCTCCAGCAGCCTCCACGTCAGCTTCTGCACCCTTCGTATGAGCGCCCATCCTCTCCGGGGAGCGTCTTGCCCCGGGGTCGCGGGGTCTGTGCCGGGCACACCTCCCGCCCGCGCGGGCCTCTCCGGGCGCTGTCTCGCGCGTGCAGCTCCGCTCTCCCCCAGGTCACGCGCCCCTGCGCCCCCTAGCACCAGCCCAGCGTCCCGGCGCGCCACACCCTCTGCCGTCTCCGTCGGCCCC